AAAATGAATATTAATAAATATTTGTTATAAATATTCTGTGCTGTCTGAGTTAATCTGCGAACGAGCGAGCGTTAAGCACGTTCTAATGTTGTCAGTAATTAATTGGCATTAATAATTAATATATTATATTTATTTCTAATATTATTTATATATTATATTTATTAAAATGATTCATATATAAAGTTAATCAAAAGGAAAGGTAAATCATTACTATTGATAACGTAAACACAATATTCGAGAGCAATTGCACAGACGATGAATCCGGTACTTGGTTTCCCTCTAATGATATTGTGTTATTTGCCAAAGCTGCGTTAATGGATTTCATTAAAGGGTAATCACGTCCATCAAGTAAAGCCATATCACCGTGCAGCAATGAGCATTTGCCTCGGAAATCGTCCGTGTCGATACTCCATACCATAACACCCGCCAATTTCTGCTTCTTTGCATATTCCACCTAAAAGAGTACATTAGCATATATTAGAATTACTTAACGTTGATATTTTTTCAGATGTCCAAACTTGCGCAAATAAAAATAGAACTGTACAAAGTGCAATTAAATAAATACATATGTATATATACATTTTATTTAATTTGTCAAAATGTTTTTTCAACAAAGTAAAATAATGTTAAAAAAGGAATTTATTATATCTTACATAATTTTAAAAAAATGCTAAATATTATTGAGACTTTTCAGTAACTGCTCCAAAGTTTAGAACATTTGAAATTTATATGAATTATTAATAATAATTTTATTATTATTAATAATTGCAATAATATATAAGATATATCATTTTTTATTTTGAACAGTCAAATATTTGAAAAAAATATCATAACTTTGAAAATTTGATTTTTTTAAAAATTGATTTTACTATTATTATAAATGATGTTTCAGCAAGTATATAAACATATATACAGCTGTATATATGTTTAATATAACATGTAAAATATATCAAATATATCAAATATATATGTAAATATACAAACAATAATGTATTTATACATATAATTGTAATAATAATTATGAATTATATAGGATTTGTATATTTCATTTCTAAAAACGTGTAATTAGGAAGAAAATTCATCTTCACTAAGAGATTATTTTTTAAAACTGTAGAAAAAATACCTTGGCCATCATGGCTTTGCGATTATCGTAAACTACAACACGATCTTTATTAATCGCATAAGCAGTGTTGCTCTCATTATCCCATCCAGTTGTCCAATTTTGCGGATACAATACCAATGTTTCGCAAATCTATACAGAAATGTACAATTTATTTGCGCGCGCGCGTGTGTGTGTATGTGTGAATAATTTATTTATATATATTTTATATTATACCAGAGAGGTTTCTCTCTGATTATACATTTTGCGTGTTGAAGAGCTCCTATGCATAATATTATATGTATATTTACCATTACTGTTGCAAAAAAATAGTTATACAACTATTGATTGTCAAAATTACGGGATTTACGAAATAAACACAATGGATTAAATATGATATGAATACATTGTTAGATATCAATGGATCAATGATAACCTAATTTCTTAAGTTAAATAACATTTTATTATTTTCAACTTCCATATGTGTCAAAACATAAATCAATTGATTTCTGTGGTTCGTTTCAAAGTGAACAACGTCCTCACACAAAAAGTGTTTAAAATCGGGTCATAAGACGTTTTTTGCGTCTAAAAGACGACTTAAAGACGTCTTATGTCACAATTTTAGACTTTGTGTTGTTGTTAGTTTATTATTTATTAAGCATACGCGTTAATATGGATCCATATTAACACATATGCTGAATAAATAATAAATAAAATTTGAGTCTTAATTGAATACATTTTTTTTTAGTTAAATTATTTAAATTCTATTTAAATTAATGACATTTTAAGTAGGAACAGTACCCACTAAGCAAGGAACGTTGCAGCAACGTTGTGACGTTACTACAACGTTACTGAAATGTTTTGTAATGTTTCTTGTTTACTGAGTAGCGACCTATAGAAATTAAAAATAACTCAAATTGGATATAATTTAACATTATAAATTTAACAGTGTATATGTGATCAAATAGCTAATAAATACCTCGTTGAATCCCATAAAGCCGTCTTCAGACGTATAAGGTCCTTTAAATCCAGTATCTAGACTGGGTAGGCCAATCGGATTTATTTTAGGCGTTTCTGGTACAGTTGTAAGAACAAAAGTTCTTCCATACATCGCTAGTCCTAAGACTAATTTCTCGGCTGGGGCTCCTTGTTGTAATAAATATGTAATAGTATATTCCTATGGTGAAAATTCAATCACTATACGATTATATAATTATGCTTCACATTATGTAATATTCGCATCAATATAAAACTAAATATTAAATAAATATAAAATTAATATAAACTAATAGAAAATTTTTATCAATGGTTTTATCCTAAAATTTTATTCTTAAAATTTAGAAGAAAAAGAAATAAACGATGAAGTATATTCTACAAATTATAATAGACAATTATAAAAAGAAACGATTGAAGATGAAATTAATAACTTTGAAAATTACTTGAACTAATTAAGGCTCAAGAATTTCAAATGAAAGAGAATGAAATGAAAATAGCTGTGATGAACCAACGCGATTATTGGTGCATAAAAATTATTTTACAATTTATTCTTATCTAATATTCATAATTTAGTAGATGTTTCGACCACTTTCTTGATCTTCTTCAGTACAATTTAATAATAAAGTGTTATTATAGTTAAAAGTGTTATTATAGTTAAAAAAATAAGTAATATTTTTCGCAATAAGTTTATTTACAGTTTTTCAGCACATTAACATTTTACTAAATATGATGCTTGACTGAACATCAAATTATTATCTGTTAAAAATTGCTTGTCTATTTAATTTAATTCGTGATATTATTACAGCAGTTTAATTGCGTTTATAAGTCCGTAAAACTAATTCGGCGCGCAGTATGAATGATTTATACGAATATGATATATAATATATATGCATGTATATAGTATATATATATATATAATTTACATGAACTATTTACATGAATAATTTACAAGAATTATTTAAGCATTAAAGATCTAGCTTCAACTATTATGGGCATTTAATTTCTAGTATTGTGTTCTTCACATATGCGGTCTAAAATAAAGATTCTTAATATTGTTAATTGAAAAATAGTTTTATAATATACGAATTTTTTCATATAATTGATTTATTAAAAATAATTGTTATGATTTGCAACTGAAATGCCCAAAATAGACATAATCATAATGATCTCACCCCGATTACTATGACCCGTAGTCTGATCGCCCTGACCCCTCACAGATAGGCTATTTCGACCAAACTACTATATCTTTTTACACCGATAAATAAAAATTTAATACATTTAATAATTATTTTAACGGTTTTCTTTAAAGCTATAATCCTGTACCGTATGTCTTTGCAACAAATTTGATAAAAAATCAATTTTTAATGAAAATATTAATAAAATTTCTTAAGTGATCGGCACCACCCCACTCTTCCCTATATTAGATAATAATAAATTGTAAACAAATTTTTACGCATCAATAACCGCGTTGGCTCATCACGGCTATTTCCATTTCATTTTCAAATTTCATTTAATAACACTTTGATTTAATAATTGTTTAAATTTTCTTGTATGCATGTATACTTCTTGCTCTTTCTACCTTATTTTAATATTTTATTTCTCTTAAAATTTTCATCTTTTAAAATAAAACGACTGACTAATTTATTGATGGAGTTATGATAAGAATTGTGCAAAGTTATTTTATTAATTTACTTTGGAATATTTTTGTAATATAAGGTGGCTAGACGTTACTATTGATTCTTTATTACAATATGTCTGTGAATATATGTACATTAATATTTCTGCGAATATCATATTTCTTACCACATCTAATCTATCCTTGCTTTGCAATGGTGAATTTGGAAGAACCCGTTTGTTCCATGCTCCGTGATAATCATAGGCCATCACGTGAATGTAATCAAGATATTTAGAAATTTGAGGAATATCGTATGCTATATCGATAGTAGAACTGGTGGCACTTATGGCTGCGGTTAATAAAAAGCGATGTTCTCTAAAGGCATCCTTCAATTCCTATCACAAGATAAATAATGGATTAATTTTTTCTGTTAATATATAAATAATAAAATATAATATTTCTACCTGCACGAGGCTGACAAAATTCTGTTTATCGTACGGAGCACCTCCTCGACTTCCAGGGAATTCCCAATCAAGATCCAATCCGTCAAATCCGTACATTCTGTTGCGAAAATTTAATTTAAAAAAAAATTATAAAATCCAATAGCACAATTCATGACAATACAATACAGATAAAATCAATAAAAATATAGATCAAAATAAAATTTTAATTATCGATAGATATTGTAACGTTTAATTAAATCATATATTGTAGCCATCACATATAACAAACTTTTTTCTGATCAGTAAAGAAGGTTTTACTTAAAGAATTGACTTTCTATAATGAAAAGATAACATAGAAGAAGGATTAAGATAAATACATCACAGCGAACACACTTGAGAAACTCAACAGTACTAGCGATGAAAACCCTCCTACGATCCGGTGAAGAAGCCATTAGTGAATAATTTGTGCTGCCTTCGTTCCATCCGCCAATACCAAGCGATACTTTTAGACCTTGATTGCGAAGCGTTGTCATTTTTCTGTAGTTGCCTATTCCTATATTCGTTCAGATATTTCCAAATTATGTTTATGAAGCTTTAATTCGAGTTTGATATAATTCGAATGTAATAAATCCGTTATTAATATTTTTTTGTGGATGAATGACCTTATTTGAAATTATCCTCTTTTATTTTGCAAAGTGCTTGGTTCAATTTTTATGAAACTGACTTGTATGTACTCACTAGAGCGTAATTATAGGATAATTTAGTTACGTTTTATCTGAATATGAGGTCAAAAATAAAAGATTCAAAATAATGGATTAAGGCAGAGAGAATTTAAAAAAATAATCTGATTATTGTAAAACACGATTTCAGGAAATTTCTAATTGTAAAGTAACAGCAAAATTTTCAGTTACGCTTTATTTGAAGCTTATCTATATACGCAAACAATTAGTAAGGTAAATGTACTAGTTAATGAACAATTAGTGGACATGACCCAATTCGTTGGACAAAGTGGTACAAAATTTTAAATATTAAACTTTTAATGATATGATATTTAATGTACGCTTCTAAATAAATTTGTTTATAAAAATTTAATAATTTATTTATCGTACATATTAAAGGCTTAATATTTAAAATATTTTATTACTTTGTCCAACAATTAGACATGTCCATTAACTGGTACATTTACTTTACTGATTTCCAAAATAATTTCTAAACTCTGATTACGAGCTTTGTGGCACTACATCATCTTTAATGAATCATTAAAGATTACTTTTTGTTTGAAATTCGACATTTTTAGGCTACAATTAAACTCAGTGATACCAAGAACTCCCTAAAATTGAGTTTCATGATACTCAGATTATTTTTTTGAAATTTAAATTTTAGAACGCCGAGGTCAGAATCAAATTCAGCGACTCCGCAAATTCTTAGAAAACAAGATTTCCTAAAAGTTTCTTTGTTAGAAAGCTCCCGTCTTCAAAGAATTAATTAACAACTTTTCTGGACAATTTGATGAATTATGTATTAATTGTCCCTTTCTTACTCCATTCCTTTAGAATAACATTAAATCTTTATTACAACTCACTTAGTTTCTTAAATAATTTTGAAAAATTTAGTTCTTAATTAGTTAACTTTCTACGATAATTCATAGTTATTGTAAAATTTGATATAAGCTTGATATCATATTAAGATTTTTATTACCATCTTTTTCCATATCTGCCCAAGGGTCGAGACTTTTTATCGTCCAGTCCGTAGCATTTAAACCAGCAAATGCATAAATTAAATGAGTACAATGTTCAGAGCGGAGATTTTCTAGGGAAAATGCTCCATTTCCTTGCCTATAAGCAGCCCAAGATGCGACGTAGCAAACAACGACCTTATCATGTTTCGGTCTTATGAGTCCTGTAACAGAATATTGACGTTAGTATAATATAATATATTGACATTATTATAATTAAATTCCATAAATCAGTTTTACAAATGGCATTACTTTGAGATCCTTATTTTTCGAAAAACTTTAAAATAATTTAATTTATTAGTACGATTATTAATATAATTATTAATGTAATTATTTTAAAGCTTGTATTCATTTAGGTAGAAAAATAATTTTCAATGAACGCAATAATTATTGTTGCAGCTAAATACAAAATTATAACTTTTGCAAGTTTGCCTTTTATACGACACAATCAATACGTTATGTTAATAGATATAATTAAAAATCATTAATATGTGTTAAAACGAGTACTTTACTTTAGAAAATATCTCTTAATCGTACGTATTAATTTATACTCTACGCTCACAAATTAAAAAAAATTTTATGAAAGTAATTACAATTTATATATACTTTGTCTTTTAGAGTTTTATTTTTATTCAAAACATATTTAAATCAATCGCCAGTAAATCGCAAAAATTATACATCCAAGCGCACATTTAAGAAACTAAATAAATTCTCAATAAAGAAAACTCGATATTAAATTGATCAAAGAACTCGTAAATAAAGCAATAATGGAATCTATTTTCGCGACACTCTGTATATACATTCGCGAGCGAAAATGTCGCGTCCTCATTGTGCGGCGTGCCGGCTTTTACTTTCGCTTGTTAATATGTAAACGCTGGTATTATTCACGCACTAATCGAATGTAATATTACATGACATTGTTATATTGCACAAGTACAATATACGTATTAATTATCATAAATAGATAGACTTAATAAGAGGCGAACTCACCGTGAACATCGTACGTCCTAAAAAATAAAATTGTAAGTAGAAGTGCCACGTCACTGAAGGACATCGTAGTGCGCTAAACTTCTTCGATGCGTTATATTTAATGCGTTGGATGATAATCTGGAACGTATCTCGAATTAAAAAACATTTACAATATCGTACTTCAAGTACAGTAAACGTCCTGTATTTGATGCGAAAACTGCGTATCGCTGATTTTTATTTCAGATTTAGCGCGTCTTTCTATTTAATCATCATAACTTTAATTCACTGCGTTACTTGATAAGATAGGTACACGACAATCGATAGAAATTAATACAAGGAATAAATCCCTAACGTTAGCGATGCTTATAATCAGATCTGTTTTTTATATCACTTGCGATAATAGTGACAGCGAAAATTTCACATTCTTTTTGTATTTATCTTAGATAGACACTAAATGACCGTTAATTGTTTTATAACAAAATAGCGTTTATTAATCACCCCGATATCGCCGATTATGCACAGTTAATACGGTACCGATTCGTATGACTGCAGTCTGTAGACTGTTGGGCCTCAGATACGCGCGCGTCAACCAGGTCCAGATCACTTTCACTCGTATAACTGTTCATTCTCGAGAGACGAGGAGAACGACCGCGAGAAGGATACACTTAGAACCTGTTATACTATTGCCGGAAATTTGCTTTGTCCTTCGTGCGGATTCTCATTCGATTTTCTGATATAAATAACTACATAACATTATCTGCGCATTACTTTATGCATGAGCCATGCATGTGTTTTATAAATAGAACAACGTACAGTCAGTACATTGCCTAAAAAAGGAAAAAGAGGAAGGCGAAGAAAAAACAGGAGGAGGAGGAAGAGGAAGAAGGAGAGAAAGACAAAGTGAAGAAAAAAAATAAAAGAATATAAGATTAAAATAAAGAGGAAATGGAAATGCAAGAAATCAAGCAAAGGGAAATAGGAAAAAGAGAAGGGAAATTGAAAGATCAGAAAAAAAGGATCAGAAGAAGGAGGAACGACGGAAATATAGGAAGACAGTAGACCTGAAAATGTCGTAGAATGATGGCGCTCATTGCTGTATTGAGATGCGTATGTATATCCTTCCATTGTATTAAAATAACATATCAAAAGGAGTCCAAATGGAAATGGAAATAGAATATGTTTCCTTTTATTAATAGCAGGATATTGAACTGATTTTAATAATATGAAAGCTCTCTTTTCCATTAAATAATAGATTCTCAAAAAATACTTTTGTAAGATGGTAAGAAATAAATTTTCAAAGTGTTTCTTTTGATATAGCAGAAAATTTTAATTGGTCTTAATCTTTCTTTGCGAAATAATAGAATCTAAAAAAATATTTTTCTTTTTGATAAGATGGCAAGAAATAGTTTTCCAAAGTAACTCCTTTTATTGATTAATAGAAATCTTAAACTGATTTTAATAATGTGAACAAAATTTCTCTTTTTTTTTTATTAAATAATATATTTTGAAAAGATATTTTTTAAGATGACAAGAAAAATAATTTTCTAAAGTCTGCCACTAAAAATTAACCACTTTTTGTATATAAACTAATAACATCTTCAATTTATGTACAAGAAATAAATAACTTTTTAATCAGAGTAGGATCTTGATGAACACAATAATAATAAGTTGCAGCTAAATATAAAATTGTAGCTTTTACTTGTTTGTCTTATACATACACGATAATCAATATGTTATATCGATAAAGTATACAGGCAGTAAGCCGCAAAAACAATTACAATGTTTTGAAAAGAGTATTTCGCAGCTCCATTTTGAACAATAGTTTCGTTTAACCATTGTAAATAAAAATCCACGCGAGAATAAACACCCGCTGTATTCGGACGGGCACATCCTTCGCCCCAAGAGACAATACCGACTTGCGTTCCATTGCATAACAATGGTCCACCGCTGTCACCCTGAAAATTCAAAATGTTGCAGTAGAATCTGAATGCAAAAAGTAAAACTTCCGTTTAGTGTAAAATTTTTTTGATTTATTAAAAGAAAACGTGGACTATTAATGTGATCCCAATTAAATTAGAATAAAATTCTGTTATAATTAATATCATCTCTTGTGTGCAAAAAATTTTCAGCTTGTTCTTAGACAAGTTGAAATTGTGAAATAATTGCCCTTATGATTTTTTTAATTGGTGCGATGTTTTTACAATTGACGTTTATCTACGAGGTATAGCAAAGTTTTTTCGTATGATTTTCAATGTCAAAGTTTTGATTTACAAGCTTAACATAGTTCATCAAGCTTAACATAGTTAAAAATTCATAAGTAATTGATTTTATACCTTAAATTAATTCATAAGGTGTTATTTTTTATCTTAAAAAAGAAAGTTTGAATAACTGTAATTTTCCTGGGACATATTTAAATATAAATTTTATCAATATTTCTGTATTGATCTCTCTAATAAGTAGGTAATGTAGGTTCAGGGATTTTTAACGAAAAATATTACAGAGCGTTATTTTTCATTAAAAAGATCTTTGTAATTACCATTTTAAAATGATTTTAAGAATTCCCTAAAAATACCTGTAAAATAGGGAAAAAATGCTCATAGTAAATATTCACGAGGACAGAATCAACGCAAGAGTATTACTAGAAGAACATATACATGAAAAGAAATTTCTGAATTAATCTGATAATATCTCAAAACGTTCAGAATTTTCTATAAACTTAAGCTATTTGGACTTCATAAGAAGTGCAAATAGACCTAAAGAAATTAGATTTTGTGTAAAAACATAAGGAGAGAATATCACTTTGCTATTACATTTAAATAGTTACTCATCAGACTTGAATATAATTAAAAATATAAAATTGTACTATATATATATATATATATATATATATATACGTATATGTACAGGGTGCAGCATTTTAATCGCCCCAGGTGGATATCTCAGAAACTAAGAAAGATACAGGAAAAAGTTTTATACAAAAGTTGTAGGTTTTCTTGGGGGAAAGAAGTTAAAAATAACAGATTCTGTATATGGGGCATTACCAAAGTCAGGTCAAGGTCACGTCGATTTTCTTAAATGAAACCCCCTATTTTTCATTACATTTTTTTGTAGCTTGCCTCGAGAACTTTTCAAAACACTATAATAAAATATTTTTTCATCAAGTATTTTTCGAGTTATAAGGCTCGAAAGTTATAGTACAGCCGGCATTAGCATTACGCAAGTTGTCCGACCGACGGCTAAAACCTCTTGAATGTTGTTCAGGATCATGTCTTGGATAACATTTGTTAAGATCAAGGCCATTTGGAGGTTGTACCTCTTATTTTCATTTAAGAGATTTAGCCGTCGGTTGGACACGTTGAGTAATGTTAATGTCGGCGGTATTGTAACTTTCAAGCCTTATAACTCGAAAAGTATTTAATAAAAAATAACTTTATTATAGTGTTTTGAAAAGCTCTTGATACCAACTATTACATTCTGGTATCAAAAATAGGGTGTTCTATTAAAAAAAATCGATTTGACCTTGACCTGACCTTGGTAATGCCCTATATACAAAATCTGTTATTTTTACCTTCTTTTCCCCAAGAAAACCTATAACTTTTATATAAAACTTTTTTTTATATCTTTCTCATATCCGTTTGGGGCGATTAAAATGCCCCACTCGGTATAATACAGGATGTCTCATAAGTTTTTGCCAATCGCTTTTGTGTAGATAGAGCGGACTAACAATAAGTCGAAAAGTCCTCTACCATTTTGCAATTTTCGCAATGGTTAACGAGATATTGAATTACTAAAAATCGTTGAATATTGGTTTTCAATAATTTTTTACTCAAATACTATTAACTTTACAGAAAAACAGCAAGAGACAAAAACTCAGTTTAGTCCGCTCTATCTACACAAAAGCGATTGGCAAAAACTTACGAGACACCCTGTATATATACGTATATATAAATGTATAAAATACGTATATATAGATATACAAAATTTAATGCAAACCTGACAGGCGTCGCGACCACCTTCCAATACACCAGCGCATAATTGCTTTTCTTTGTGCACATTCGGCAAAGGGCATTTGTCAGGCGAGATTAATGGAATTCGAACGTGTCGCAAATACGTACCGCTTCCTTGCTAACAATGAGCCAAGAGCAAATTAAAGAAATATATTATTCATTGGTCAACTACAGCTTCTTGTATTTTATTAAATTGTGCCATGTGTTTTCAAAGTAAATTATTAATTTAAATAAATTTCTGTTTTAAAGAAAAACGTGATAGGAGATTCTAGAATGAACTAATAAAGAATAGATACTAAAGAATAACTGATGAAGATTAGATACATCGGAAAAAGTTTGCTTTAAACAGAATCTAAAATTGCTCTATCATTATTTCATGATGGATCAAACTCTCTATAAAGCTGGAAAAAAGAGATTTGTATATTCATTTTTTATTAGTTTTCATTCACAAAAAAAATTTAAGATGTTTCTTCCATCGCGCAGAATATATTATCCTCATTTATGTGACGTATTTAAATAAAATACTTCGTAAACTTGCTTACGTTTGAATCGGGTATGTGTCGACCCCATCCAATCGCGACACAATCCTCCGTGTATTTCTGGAATATATCCGTGATATAGACCGGCGGAAGCGTAACGTATTGGACGTACGCGTTTCTGTAAAGAGGTCTCTTCAGCTGTAAAAGCGGGGCATGTATGACAGTACAAGGCCACTCACAGTGATTACAAGGTTTGCTCTCTTTATTATCGACACAAAATTATATACACGGCATAAACAGTCACCCTGAACAATCCAATATCGTTTCGCATGTCCGAGAATCGAAACTCTGCGTGCGGCAATGTCTTGTCTACCAATTCCACTTGCATGGAACCCCAACTTGGTAAATACACGTAGGTCGCGCCGGCTATCACATAGAAATGGCGTGGATTCTCCGCTGCCCACGTGCCGTCGAGCAACCGTCTTTAAACAACGACGAGTTAATTATACACCTTGGTTTTTTTTTCACCTAAACAACGGAGCGATGTGAGGAAAAGTGGAACGCGATCAGACGTGAAACGTAATGACAGAACACTTTTCCTATTAAACGATATCGTGGAGTTCAATGATTCTACTTTGCATGTTGAATATATAGGTAACTTATAGAAAGAAGATACCAAGAATTTTGGGATATATATATATAATATTCACGAAATTATGACATTTTTTTAAAAAAGATATATTTCTTTTTAAAAAAGGTTAATACTATCTCTTAAAACAGTATAATAAGCACAATTTCTCTTTCTTTGTAAGCGAAATATGAAGAAACAACATCTACATTAATTTTGTATAACAAATAAATTAGAAAATTAAATTTTTGATAAAATCAAAGACAAACGAATAACGAATAATTATTTTTTACGAATCTATTCTTATATCAACTAAAGAAAGATAGAATATAATTTATCGCATAAAATTGGTGTTTGATTACGAAAGGGAAGTGATATCGAAAATATATTTATTAAAGTCATGTTTCAATGTATAATTATTAACTCTCTCCCAATTTGTCTCGTTCCCTTTAAATCACTCTTCTTTTAATATTTTATGTAGCTGTCGTATAAACGAACGTACTGATTGCGCCCCAATTTCCTCTACGTACAATCACGAGCGGCCGAGCTGACACGTAAAACAGAAACTACGTTCACGCGAGTAGTAGTACATCTCATCGCTAGTACACAGCTAATCGATATACATAGATAGATACCGCGACAGATATCATTGCCTTAGGATCTAGCGCCGCTAACCTTCTCGTTACTCGTGAAATATATACGCTAGACAGCACATCACTACTCAGACACAGTAAAAAACAAATAAGATATACATACAATTAGAGGGAATGAACGGGACGGAAGGGACGAGATAAAATTCACTTTATAATTGATACGCCGGTTGTCAACAGGCAGTTATTCTTATACCCGATCGCTGACACCGTTCGATTCACCTTCCAATCCTGTTCATCCAGTTGTTGCTGTATAGTTGAAAGAAGGATTGCATTCAGTAGCGAAAATATAAGTCCGAATGTTCCGCATATATTTCACATACGCGATATAAATTACCTACCAAATACATTTAGGACTTATGCATTACAGAACTGCTGTTCAGAATACATCTCTCTGTGATATTTATAATGAATATTTCATAGAGAATGTGTAGATATAAATATCTCTTACAGAGAGACTCAATCTCTCGAAATATATTACATATTTTCAAACTATAGATTACTGGAAATTTAAATCTGCCGACCTGTTCGGTTAATTTCTCACAAATGGAAGCGATTTACAATCTTACAAGACACGTCATTACATCAAACACAAGCCTTTTGCTTTTTCTCGTGTGAACACGTTACATACATCTCTGCAGTAGCAAGGAGGTTAAACACGGCCACTAATACCTCATGTAATGTGGTGTAATCCTAAAATGTCTTACCAGGGCATTTGGTTTGGTTTACAAATAGATATAATTACATTCTCGAGACTATACCGGAATGTAATCTATATTTTAGCCGACAAAGGATTTTCTCCTTCCGTGATCTTTTTTTACTTCGCGAAACTTACTTTAAATCTAAAGAGATTTAGATCACATAGACAGCTCCGTGGTTAAGAATTAATTATACCAAAAACTGAGAAGATTAATTCTCTCAGCTTCTTGTTGAAAAGTTATAAGTGAAAGCGAAAGATCGTTCAATCTATCCAAAGAAAATTTGACGATATGAAAATATCTTATATGTTCTAAAAGCAAGTGACAAAAATGTGTGACGGTAAAAACCCTAAAAAGAAAGACTCTAAAAAGAAATGAAGTTCATTTGATATTTCTTACTTAACAAAGAAAATCAATTTAAATCTTTAAGAAAAAGTAATATAAGAATAGTATCTAAGAAAAGTAATTTAAATTTTTTAGCGTTTTCAGGGAGCTTAAAATTTATCTGAAGCTTAAGTCATTTTGTACAGCTTAAAAGGAATAAATGCTTTGTATGTTCACTTCTTTCAAAGTTCTTTCCAAATTGCAATTATAGAGTGATCCATAAGAATTAAAACAAAATAGCAATTTAAATATAAAATTCCAGTATATATTATATATTACAAAACGTATATACTTTATCTAGATTTAGAAATTTTGATATAAGGCATTTTTGCGTGAAAGAAAGCGACGTTATCAAAATTAATATTATTACAACGCAAATGTACATAAATTTACTCCAATTTGTGTGGTAAATGTATCATAGAAAAGCATGAAAAGATAAATTCGCTGTACGATGTGGCAGTGTTTCCTAATCATAATTAGCCGCGAAGGCCTTTAGAACGAATAACTTTTATATATACACATCAACTCTTACACATTATGAGCAAGTAAGCAAGATATCAACACCTTAATAGGATTAAATGAAAAAGATCACAGTTAACATTAATCAAGCTTAAAGAGTGTCGTGCGCTGCTAACATCTTCGGAGAGTCCACGTGTTCTATTCAGAAAATTTCACGTGAAATATTTTCGCTCATCCCCTCCCCCCCATTTTAGAAAGCTATCTTAATTCCGGGATGTAAATTCGAGGATCCCATCTTTGTTCAAACATCCCAGGAATGAAGATTGTGTATTAAGGAGATGGGGCAACAAATACGTAGGTCGAATAAAGTGCTAAAGCCCCGGCTAGAGAGAGAGAGACTACACCACCCTCCGCGACAGACATAGCGCAAAATGCGAAACGCAGTCTTATGACACGCACCTGACCATGCAATGGGCGGCCGACAGGACGAACCTACAGGCGACGTAAGTGCCTCCGCACGAGTGGCTATAGGATCGGCGCTGCACCGAGACCTAAGAGGAATTGACTTTGAAAAATTCGGATTCGCCGAGTCGAGTCGGTTGCCACCTTAACCCTTGCGCCCTAGCTCGGACGAATGCCAAGCATATTCGAGACCGTCTGAATCTCAATTTCACGAATAATTTTCTCATGCTTCCCTGATGAAAATTGTTCTTAGAATCCTTCACCTAATTTTTCGAAATTTCTACATAATCTTATAACTTTTTAGAAAATTTTTCAAATTTTTTTATACGAATTGGAATACTTTCTAAAATATTTAAAATAGCCTATATCTTTTCTAGAATTTTTTATATCATTTGTGAATTTTATTTTATATTATTTCCAAAGAAAATATGTAAAATATGAAGTTTAAAGTATTTTTCAGAAATCTTCATAAAAGAATATGAAAATTCTTGAAAATATTATGAGAATAAAATATGAGATTTTCACCAGGGGTTTTAACATCTTATATGTTTATTCTCAATTTGTTAAATCATGTTAAATCTGTAAGAAAGACGTTTCGTGAAATCTCACTTAAAGATACATTTCAAATTATATGTATTCTATTAAAACTTCGAATAGAATAGCATACAACTTTCTATGCATCCTGCACATCAACTAAGACAACGCTTAACTATTTGGAAATTGAGATTTCCAGCTGTCTCGAAAGCATTCAAAGTTAGATCACAGTATATATGTACTGTGGTTAGATTGACACGAGCAGTTAAAGTGCATCAGTATACCGTCAGTACATATCGCACAAACGAGAAATTAGAAGTGCCGAAATTGCACGATGTTAATCTAGCTTGTGTATTTCATTAATAAAGCCGATATCTCTGATTCAAGTTGGTCCTACATGAGAATACACTCGAAGCGTAAACTGCAAGATACATCAGTCGAAATTTCATTTCATCACATCATCGTTATATACCATTTTACTCTGTACTACCGGTTAGAAATTAAAATAGTTTAATTCTACGAAAGAGCGTTAAAAGACTTTATGGATCGTTCTCTCTGTTCGCGTTGAATCGCTAAACATTTCGCTCTGTCAACTTTCAGAGTTGATAAAACCACCCCCGGCCTCGCAGAGTACACTTCGCGTTACTTCCACGTCATTGACGTCACAGTCGTCATACTATGCATCCGTGGAGGTGTGGGTGACGGTACCGATGTTCTTCACAAAGGTGAAAGGTTAAGGGGCTTGTGTGCGTAAGAGAAATGGGCGCGTCGCACGCATACGATGAATGGATAATTCTTGATGCTGGTGATCTCTCCGCCGACGATGCGCACCGCCGGCTCATCAACCGCAGACTCCCACGGCGTCGCGGTCGTTTCGACACCGGTCACCAGGGAAATCGGGCAGAGATACGGTATTATTAGGACCAAAACCGCGAAGAGTATCTCCGCCGTAAAGGCTTAGCGGGATCCTCCATTTTCTGTGCCACGCTCTCCGTCGACTTTTGTTTTTCCTATAATTTATATTAGACTTGCTGTTCCTAGTCGCGCACCTTCTTACTTTTCCTCGAGTTAAAGATAAATAAATTATCGTGGCGTTTCCAAGAAGCATAGCTAGCCGCTGCAAGGAGCGTTAGTGGCAATGAAATCGTAATATATCTTGCGAAAGATGAAAGTGGAATCTTATGTATGTATGAATGTATCGACCTGAAGTTTTCCAATGTATCGGCGTAAAGTTCTCCATTGGCAAATGTATACTGACGTGAAGTTCTCCAATATAATTTTTTCCATCATGACCAATATAATTTTTTTACATCACGATCTTCTCCATATGTCCTTCCCCTTCCCTTCACAATCAATTCTATATATTGAAGGTGCAGCTAGAAACAGCAAACTTGTATGAAATTTGCAATATAATCAACTTCGAGCTTTCGACATGCTAGAGTGAACGCTGAAACGACTAAAGATAACTTTATTAAAGTGTGAGATCGTTAAAAAAGACGACTTCTTTTCTATATTATAGTTGTCAGTGATTGCGATTTTGCTTTCCGAGCAAAAGCATGTCGCCTAGCAGACTAAGATCTGCCTGAGATATTTTCTAATTTGCGGATATATGAAAAGGCACTTCTCAATTAAAATATCATTACTAAGCTTTCAAACTTCGCTTAGACGACCGATGCCTTATACGTCTTACAAGTACAATAAAAATTAAAAAGTAGTATATTTCTTGCAAGTTTGAAAGCATGTAAGAATTTGCACGCGATTGGAATAATCTCGATTTTAGCAAATAGTCGCACAATCTGAAATATGCATAAAAATTCATTAATCATAAATATATTCTTTACTTCTATAAAGCACTACATAGTCAATGTTTGTTCCCTAACGTTTCCACTTTCCTCTAACTATGACGATAAATTTATCATTTAGTAATTTGCCGCTTTTTAATCTTTATATTTAATTGTAACCGAATTCGATCGCGCGTGAGTACCCCTAGTTTGTAACGTCAGCTACAGACTTACGTTCGTAAGATTCGTTCTGTGAAGCTATCAAAACTTTTTTAGTTAGATTAGTCGTCTAACTGGAGACGATGATACGTTCCCTTCTGATTATCCTAATGATCAAGATTAGATTAGTACTCTAAAGCCTCGGAAAGCATCGTTAGCGTTCACTCTAACGTAAACGTTCTTCGACATAATCCTTTTAATGTTCCAAAGTACCGCCAGCTCAGGTAGTCATACTAACATACTCTTACGCTGTAGCCAATATGGCTGTTTAAAGTTGCTGGTACTTAGTACGAGTGCCGACAGCAAAGAGAGAAAGAGAGGATTATGATTTTTTAACGAGGAGGTGTGTCAACACACAGATAAGAGATAATCCCAAGCGTTTGGTTGTTCGGTGATAGTATCGGCATCAAGAGTTTTAAATCCTGTTAAAAACCACGTCGTATCGACGGGTAACGCGCCCAATAGTGTTCGAAAAAGTTTGGCCGCAAGCACGGCTGTAATCGCTATTTCTACAGACGGTTGAGTCAGAGCTTGATCGAATCAGTTTGCCCGCAGTCTTTCGATCGACCTCAATAAGATCGATGTAATGCACTATCTCTCGAAAATTACGAAGAGATAAGTATAATCACAAGATCTGATTGTACATTGATTGTAAATTCAAGCAAAGAAATTATGCTTTTTTGTTTAGTAATTATGTATAATAGCAAGAGATCAGGTATTATTGATCAAACTCTGACTCGAGTATCTCTAGTTATCTCTAGTTTCTCGCAGTTCTCTAAATGCCTAGCCGCTGTCGCGGTGTTTTTTAAGCTTGCCACTTTAAAATACGCTGAAGGAAGTCGTAATGTAATACTGATTGTGAGTTGTACATCCCGTTTCATCGATATCCCCCACAGTTAGTCATAGCACGTGAAGTACAAATGAAGAATCGAAAACAAAAATGGCCTAAGTGAGCGATCTTGGGGTACTCGTTTATATCGTTATGTAATTTATTAAAACGATAATTTAAATTAGAAGACAGTCTGATATTTCAATGCGTGCATAAAATATTTCAATACGTGCAAAGATCCGAGTACCTTATGAGTCATCGTATTTTTGACTTACGCCATTCTTGCTTTGAATTTCTCTTGAATATAATATATTTCCTACGGAGCGCTAAGCTCCGAATTACGTTGAAATGACGGCGAATGTTTGCTATAGTATCTATGTCCTATTATACGCGGATAAGTTGCCACTTCTCTAGATTATTGTCGGAAAATTGATCTCATCGCTGTGTATTATTACGAAACATCATGAAACGGGGCGTAATATGAAAAAATATAAATTATAAAAAAGGTAATTTTATATCTACTGCGAATTAAATGAAAATCAGCTTTCTTTTTTTAATTGAGATTCTAATGGCTTGAACGATATATGGAAATATTGTAGAAAGAGCAAAATCTATTAAT